GCTCACAATCCAATTTTTCATGAACGGACAAAACACATTGAGTTGACTGTCATTTTGTACTGAACAAACTTCAGGAAGGGTTGATTTCTCTCCACCATGTGGCCACCACTGACCAATTAGCTGACATCCTCACTAAGGCACTCACAAGGGTCAAACATCATGTTGTGCTTGGCAAGTTGGCTTTGAGATCCTCCCATCCAACTTGAGGGGGTTATTGAGATATGTTTAGTTAGTTTTAAATATTTGTTAGATATTGGCTAGTTAGATACTGTTATTAGCTCTTAGTTAGCTAAGTTAATTGTATTAGCTTGTAATAGCTGTCTTTTATTTTTCCCACGTGTACATACATATATAGGTTGTAACAGTGAAAATGAAATGAGAGTCATTTTTCACATTTGCATTTCATCTGCTCTCCTCCCAGATATTTTCTTCTCTATTTGGGATATTCCAGAACCTCCATTGAAGCTTTTGTACGAGCTTCATCTTAGCTCAAACTATGAATCTCAATACCCTCAGCTCAAGAAAACAAAAGGACCAAAAGCAAAAGGAGACAATATTAGTATTACCGCAGAAATCATAGGAAAAATAGGAACAACATGAAATCCAGAAGAAAGATACAAATCAAAAGCGACCGATAGCTAGTAAATAGGTCCTGCACTGAAAAGCGAAATAGTAAGACACAACATTATCACTAGCACCTGGATGAAAGATATTTTGAAATTTATCACTTTATTTCACTCTAAAAGTATAACTGAAACTTCCAAAAACAAAGAGTAATCCCGCCCTTCTAGTTGCCTTTGGCAATTGTTAGTGAAGAAATAAGAATGGCAGTATTAACGTGCAAACCAGCATTTTTTGTATTTAATAAAAGGCTGACATCACTTGAAAAGTATAATACGATTATATAGAGCCCATTTGGCTTAGCTGATTTAGAGTAGCTGATAAGCATTAGGTGCTGAAATTGATTTAAAAATAAGCAGTTACGTGTTTGGATAAAAGTGCTGAAATTAATAATAAGCAGCTGAAGAACTGGGTATACGAAGAGTTTTGTTTTAAAAATAAGTATTTTAGGGATAGAATAGTAAATATTTTGTTCAAACCTAAAGTGCTTATAAGCTGAAATTTGATAAGTTGGGGGAGACCAACTTATGACTTTTGGCTTATTTTTGGCTTATAAGTACTTAACTTATAAGCACTTTTAATTTTTTCAAACGCGTAGATAAGCCAAAAAGTGCTTATAAGTCAGTTTGACTAGCTTATAAGCTTAGCCAAACACCCTCATAGTAGGCTAACATCTCTTGATGATAATATGTGTGTATATAATAGGCTGACATTTCTTCAAAATAATTACAAGGTAAACATCAATTTGGAACAAGAGTAAAGCTTTAAGATCGAGTCCATTACTCAAATGCTCACTCAACTATTCCAAATTATCTTCTAAAATTATTTTTCTTTCGTTTGTAACAACAAAGTCACTTAACTATGCCTATTGCACTCAGAAGCTCACTCAACTAGATTTTTAAAATTTTGATTGTCAAATATCTATTTTACTCTCTAGATTATAAATATTTATCTTCTTTTTATTTTTTTTTTAACTTTTTAATATTATGATTTTTCCCTTTTAAATTAATATTATGGACTTACCTATAGAATAAATAAATTTTATTTATAAATTTAAAAAATTAAGAAGTATTTAAGCATATGTAATGCTGGAATAATAAAATAATGAGTATAGTTAAAACAATTAATTAGAATAGTTTGTTCATAAAAATAATTGTAGTATTAACAAAAAAAATTAAAAAAATTATTTACACAATTGAGGATGAAAGAAAATAAAGGTTTTAAAAAATATATATTTCATGCACGTAATATAAAATAATTATTTAAATAAAGGTATTTTATAATATACATTATATATTCTTAAAAATTATGCTCAATTATATTATTATTTTGCCATTATATGAGTTGAAAACTAATTTTGTTATTTTTTATTTTATAAATAATATATATTTATTCTATAGGTAAGTCCACAATGTAGATTAAAAAGAGAAACAAATTATAATATTTAAAAAGTTATAAAATTTTGATAATTTAGAAGGTAAAATAGGTATTTGACAATTAAAAATTTAAAAAAATCTAGTTGAGTTACCTTTTTTAAGTGCAATAGGCATAGTTAAATACTTAATTATGCCTATTGGACTCTCCATAGCTCAGACCCGAACAAGTTATACAAATTGACTAGTGCAAGAAACAGCCACTGATAAATTTGCAGTACTGCGGATATCCCATAATAATAAAGCAATTCGTGGAAAATGATTAATGAGAAGGTCACCATGCATGAAACAATATTTTCTTTAATGGTTCAAAAAGATAATGCAAAACAAAACCAAAAAGAGAGAGAAAGAAATAGCAAGATATACTTCAGATACTGGAGATTGGAACTCCAATCAGACCAAATATAGTTATAATCCATTGGTGGCTGTTTGATATAATCTTCGTATAGAAAATCTGGGAATATGTAAACGAAAGATCATCGTACTAAAGATCCAGTAAAAGATACTACGTAAGACATAAAGCTCCCAAACAGACTCTAATTAAAGACATGATGGAAAGAACAGTAATTTTTTAAATTAGAAAAAGTTTCAGCACCGAAGTCAACGCTTTGTTTCATTTACTAAGATACAAAGATTTGGATGCAGATGAAGCATTAGTAGCACACATACACGGCAATTAATACCTCTGGATTTTTTGCCTATATAATATTAGATCCCTGGCTCTGTCTCTCTTTCCCTCCTTAAAGTTTAACAACGATTTTCCTTCCAAAATTGAGATTCACTTGAGCATTCTAACGTGGTTTGTCTACTGGGAGTTGATTAGAGACAATAATAACGAGCCAAAAAAGAAGCTTCCTTATGGTTAGAGACATTAACACATTGAGTGATTGAGTAAGGTTCTGATAATATGGAAAATATGACTGTGCTTCCCTTAACGTTCATAGGGGGTGGTATTACAAGGGAAAGTATGTTTACAACAGCTTTTCATAATGACTCTTGAGGTTAATGAAAAGGAATTGAAATGTTGAGCTTTTAATGATCAAACAAAACTAATAAAAGAATGATGTAAATATCTGTTTAGCAATGTCAGTAGGCTGACTTGGTAACTTCATTTCTCCTCTTCTTTTTCCGTTCCACAAAGGATCATAATCTCTCAACTTTTCCCATAAATTTCTCTGAAAAATCAGATTTGAGACAAATATGTTTGCTCTTTATTAGCCATATAAAGTAAATAAATTTTATTTAACCCTAATTTAGAACGTCTTGGTTAGAAACTTTATTACACATTAAACACACGCATGCATCACACCCACTCTGTCCAAATATATATCAGTAGATCAATAACATTATATATATTCTGATACCCGCATATCTGTGATAATAATCTTGAGTTTGACCAAAACTGTCGTCATGTTTGATTATCCACAAATGGGTCAAATCGAATATTGCAGAGAAGTAAGCGTGGAGTAATAATAATTAAGTGTTGATAATCAAGGTTTCTTATGCAACCACAATGATTTAAGGATATATAAAAGAGTAGTGGTCTACCAGTCTACCACATCACTTCTCAAACAATTACTAGTATATACTTTATACCCCAGAATAATAAAACTGAGATACTTTATCCATTTGTGATGGTTCTGTAACGACGAACTCTGAGATACTTGACGTGTCCTGTAAGAATAAAACAAATTAGTTAGAGCTTTTGCATATTACGTGCCAAAATGTTAGCACTTCTATTGATTCTCTGTTTCATTACTAAATGCTACTATTTAACTACACATGTAGTACTAATTTCGTAAAGGAACAAGGATTTCTAGACTAGGAGCCACGTCATCTTTAAAATCATGTCCTTTTCTTATCTATGCCAATAACCTTGTTTTAACAATTATGTCATTTTCTTATCCTCAATAAATTGATATCGTCAACAACCAAAAAAGGAGAAGGAGAAACAAAGAATATGACCTAGAATTAACAAAATCATTATTCTTGAAATTCCGACGATAACACTTGTTTGGATTCTGTTGTTCTTTTTAATTAGTTAAAGTTAAACAAAGTATATAACTGCTTGGTCACACATACATGATACACCTCAACAACCACAGAAAATTCGAAAAACTCCTATATTTAATTTGGGAAAGCTTCCTTGTAGGATAGAAAGTATATATGCAAGGAAGGCATAAGTTGGGAAATTATCAATTGAAAATGGCAATAATAACAACGAACATTCGGCATGACAAATGGCTACACTCGACAAATGATCCTCTACTATGTCATATATGTACTAATAATATAACTGGAGTATATATTTTATCTTTTGAGGAAACGAGGAATTAACTGCCTGCTTTTAGAATCTTAGATTTGTCCATAAACACTTAAATTACACAATGAGTATAAACAATGAAGACTTTTTCTTTACAAAATTAGAGGTGACCCACTACGGGCATTATTAAAAAGAATAATTCAGAATTTAGCGTCTGACTTTGAAGAACAGCGCAGCACTGCGTCGGTTTATCCCAAAGTACAGCACGCGCATGTTTTATAAGATTTGGAAATGGTCTTTATCAAATGTTATAACTTCTTAGTTGAACATTCCTTATATATTGTTATTCCTGGTTCTGATCACTTCCCATTATTATCTTTTCATTAATTCTTCTTTAGCCTTCTCCAAAAGGCTATTTCACTTTCAAAAAACAATATAGTCATTCTCCGATAAATGTCCTTTCAAACTCTTTTCAGCTCTGGAATCAACAAAAATCATCAGCATTTCTACCAAACTGACTTCATTGATCATCAGCTTCCAACTACTTCTCTTTCTCACAACAGGCTCAAGCAGTTGATTCTCCAAATCCTCTAGCCATTATTTAAAACCAAAAATAAGTATAATCAGTTAGGATATATAGTATTATTCTTGATTCAAAACATTTTTTGCGAGATTTTGAAATCATGGAGAAGAAAATATTGTTCGGCAAATATGAAACCGGGAAACAATTAGGCAAAGGCACGTTCGCCAAAGTTTTCCATGCAACAAACCTAGCAACAGGGGAAAATGTGGCGATCAAAGTGATCAAGAAAGAGATAGTCAAGTCACCACAAATGATGGAACAAATCAAGAGGGAAATCTCCGTTATGCGCCTCGTTCGCCACCCTAACATTGTTGAGCTCAAAGAAGTCATGGCAACCAAAACCAAAATCTTCATTGTCATGGAATACGTAAAGGGTGGCGAACTCTTTGCAAAAGTAGCCAAAGGAAGGCTCACAGAAGACGTGGCTCGAAAATACTTTCAGCAGTTGATAAGTGCTGTTGAATTTTGCCATAGTTGTGGAGTTTCTCATCGTGATCTCAAACCAGAAAATCTTCTCCTTGATGAGAGTGAGAATTTGAAGGTCACTGATTTCGGCCTATCGGCTTTACCAGAGCAATTGCTTAACGATGGCCTTCTTTACACTCAGTGTGGAACTCCTGCCTATATTGCACCAGAGATAATAAGAAACAAAGGATATGATGGTGGCAAGGCCGATATTTGGTCATGTGGAGTCATATTATATGTTCTTCTAGCAGGGTGTTTGCCTTTTCGAGATTTTAACCTTATGAATCTATATAGAAAAATTTTCAAAGCTGAATATAGGTTCCCCCCATGGTTATCTACAGAAGCAAAGCGTTTAATATCTAAAATATTGGTTCCTAACCCACAAAAAAGGATTAGTATAACTGGAATAATGAAAGATCCTTGGTTTAGGAAAGGTTTTACAATGCCAATTGGAGTTTCATCAATTGATCATGAACATGATACATTTTCCATGTTAGATAAGTTTGGAAGAGAGGAATTAAAGCATGGAGGGATGATAAAATCACCATCCTCCCCAGCCTTATTGAATGCTTTTGAATTAATCTCATCAATGTCAGCTGGAGCCAATTTATCGACCTTGTTTGAGAACAAGAAGAAGACGGAGTCCATTTTTACATCGAGGTGCTCGGCCACGATTATTATGGCCAAGATTCAATTATTGGCCAATAAGTTGAATTTTAGGGTTGCAAGAGTCAATGGCTCAACCTTGCGGCTACAAGGTCCCTCAGAGGGCCGGAAAGCGCGATTATTGGTGACCATCGAGGTGTTCAAGGTGGCTCCAGAAGTGGCGGTGGTTAAGTTCTCAAAGATCTCAGGTGACTCGCGAGAGTACACAGAGTTTTTTGAAGAGGAGGTAAGACCATACTTGAAGGATATTGTTTTGACATGGCATGCAGAGGAAGTGCTTAGTGCTTGTGATAAGGAGGATTGCAAAATACCCATGAAGTGTGCTAGTAGCAAGGATTTGAGCCAACATAAGTTAGAAGAAATTGACATAACTACAAACTTGTCATCCAGCGTGTGAAACGAACATTGTTTATAACTCAACTAACAATTGCATTTGAATTCTGTACGTCATCAAAATATTGTGTATGTTGTAATGGGGAAGGGATAATAGATATCTTTTCGTAGTGCTATCTCCCCTTCATTCCTTTCATTTGTTTGGTTTTGATTAAGAATTGGACTGAAATATTATTTGTGTTTTTTGAATGAGATCGATGTACAAATTAAAGAAAGTTAGGGCTTTCATTTCCTTTGTGACGTCTCTCTCTCATATATCGTTAAACATATTTACTCTTTATTAATTTCCCATTCAATGTATCACACTCCGAGATAACTGTCATAGCCATTAGCATCACACCATTTAAGCCTGATAAGAGCTGCTGTAGCTTCCACGAGATTGCTAGTTCCATTGCCAACCCTTGTACGAAGGCGGCCGTGATATCACCCCCCCCCCCCC